TCAGCAGTGTGCACTCACTGGAACCATTGAAAAATCTCAGACAAATACTCGCCTATGAAACTGTCTAGTGGTCGCACTATGTGTATCCTAAGTTGGTAAAAGTTAGAATTCATGGGCAACTGGTTCGAGTCCCAGTGGCTTAATGGTCTACGAGCTTGCCTTGTAACCGTAAGGTCCTCGGTCCGAACCCAGGATGTGGGTGCGTACTGATGATGATTCCCAAACTAGGATGAAACAGTTGTCCAGCACTCCCTGATGGTGCATTTCAGTGGTACTCTAACTGATATCAATCCGTGGTCAAATACTATAAATAATAACAATAGCTTTATCCTGGACATGGTCTGTATGGTGTACAGAATTTTCTCTTTGTCTAGGATCTTTAAATGACATAATCATTTACAAAAGAACCTATGACACACACAATACTGTTTGACCTGAAGCCCAAACCACTATGAAATATCTTCTTTGTCTCCTTAGAGAAATGTTCAACATTTGCTTGAAAGCTAGTTTCAAAATGTTCAGAAGTATATTTTAAGACCCGATGACACAGCACTTAGGATCAATTGTGTCACACACATTGGAATACGCTGCCCCCACCCCTACGATTATGCCTTCTCGCAGGTTTATTAGAAACTTGCACACTTCAAATACTCACGAGAGTAAATATCACCATTAGAGATTACATTGTAATCGATTAAAACAAAATGAACAGAAGGAATAAAACAATTCCAACAGTGGTGTGAACACGGGCAGTAATTTTGCTCGGAATATTACCAATAACAAAACTTATCATTGTGTGTAAACTATTGAAATATAATTATACTTTATTTGAGAAGAAAATGATAAGGGAGATTCTTGGTAGCTCAAGTTTTAAGCAGGGCGCACTTTGCAGTCCTCATCCCTACCTTCTACGTGTGAAACTATGCAGAAATTATTGATTCACCTGGGCCTTCTGTGAGCGTCTGTTTCCAAGTTAACAAATGCAAGATTTCATTACTTCAATGTTGTCTCAAACTCAAAATTTTCGCCAAAGTGAAATTGTTTATTTGTGTTTTAAAACAAAATATATATACAGTCTTTCCTGCTGGCTACACTTTTGATTGTCGGATCAATATTTTGGCCAACAACTGGTCTTCTTATCATCAATTCAAGATCAACAGAACTTGCTGATCATAAAGTAAGTTAGTTTATAGTTTTTTAAGGATTTTGGTTAATTTCAATGTTCATTTCTTCATTTATGATTTTTTAAAACTTTATTCCTTTACCACTGCGATTGGAACATACAGGGCTTTGAAGTTTTTAGTAGCAGTGGTTTTATTTCCACGGGGTGAAGTTGCTAACCTCGCGCCTCCCAACCTCCCATCTCTACTGGCCTTACTACCGACTAAGCGAGTTCTAGAAGTCCGTCGGTGGCCGGGAATCGAGTCCCGGACCACCTGAGTGGTTGGTGTGCGTTCTACTGCTGATTGTTTGGAGGATTTCATCATGAGCTGACATTAGTTACAGAACCATTGGAAAACTATCAGGGAGTACTGGACAGCCAGCCGTTTCGTCCTAGTTTGAGACCCTTCAACGGTAAGCACCCGCAGGGGTTCAAACCCAGGACCTTCGGGTTACAAGGCCAGCGAGCTCGTAGATCATTAAGCCACTGAGACCCAATCCAGTGGCCAACCCGTGAATTCTAACTTCTGCCAATTCGTGACATAGCGCGACCACTTCACAATATCTGCTTCGATAAGTAACCGTTATCACCTTCAACCTGCTGTAACCTACTTGGTCATGGCTTCCCACCAGGTAACTGCGTGCATAGGGCCAGTCGACACTGAGCATCATTTATTTTGGATGTTACATCAGACCTAATGTACTCACCGATGCATTACTGACAAAATCTCAGTACGGATACAGAGGGTTCTGATGGGATTGATTAATTCATGTCATCTCTGGTGTAGACGTGATAGCCGGCTGGTCATTGATCAAAGAACGCTCTGTCCTCCTTTATGGCCGCCTGTGAGACATGGTGGCCATTCGAAGTGAAAGTTATGAAAAGGCTGATAGTCTTTGACCACAGATGCTGACCTTCTATCTTCCGTGTTAAGTGTTAGGATATTGGATGCAATCTAAAGGATATGCTTAGAGTGTTAGATAAGGAGGGTAAGTCAATAGGTGGGTTTGTGGAGTTACACCGATTGAAATCGCTGCAACACGTGTTGCACATGTCGAGCCATCACCTTCCTCGATGAGTCATTCTTAGCTGACCTAAGACTAGACTGAAAATAATCTAGGGGTGTTCACATAAAAACCTGAAATTTATCTATGGAGTCTTCGACAGTTTAGTTTGAGTCAGTCACGTAGAGATAGGCACATACTGCCCAATTAGAGAGATCCTCAGGATGCGAATAACCAACGTCTGGAGACCTGTTCATATGTCTGTGTAGATTGTTCTCAATAATGGCGCAGGTATATTCACTCTGTGTGATCTCCTATAACCATGTTACTATTCTTCTTTATTCCGACAGGTTTCTGCTTATTTTATTTCTTTTGAATCCCTTTTTGTTCCTCTAAATTCGTGTGGTATACGGAATTTGGCAACTTGAACTGCTGCATGTGTTTTAGAAGTCACTCAGTGGGGCGGTCAAACTATCATTTAACATTAAAACGAAAGTTCTCGAGGTACAGCAGTAGTAGTAATCTATCACTTCTGTTAGTCAGCAAGTTGCATGCATGATCGATGAGTTTCATGGAGGTCGATGTGGCTGATGTACACTAAAACACTCAGTTTTATGTTCATTGGTCTCGGGTTCATGTCCCGTTCCACCTATGTATCAGCCTGAGCGCGTAACTAGGTGGTAGTATCATCAGCACGGTTCGTGACCTGGTAAATGAAAGCTTTCTCTCAGAGCTGTTACTTTCAAACAACATCAATATCATTTAATTGAATTTTAGATTTTCCCGTCAATTGGTTGGACCGAAGTGCTCGGTAGTCTCAGGTTGACATGTCGTCTTCTTGTGCAGATACTTCGACCATGCCTGGGCAGACACAAATCTAGATGATGAGTCCCAAGATAGGACGAAATGCACATCCTAGAAATTAGACTGCTAGTCACCATCCACCAATTAATATCACTATCAATCAATGAATACGAAGCCTAGGTGTTTTTCGTTGTAGTAGGGCCTTCAGCATCCGACTGACTGACTGACTCTTTCTTACACTCTGTTTACTGTCATCTCATTTAGTGTATCCATTCTTGAAATTATTTATTTAACACTGAATTTTTTAATTTTATATAACATAAAAAGTAGATTTTTTTTGTCATTCTAACATATTTTAACTCTATAAAGAATTCTAGGTATTTTCACCTTTTCATATAAAATAGTATTTTAATATTTGTAGAGGCCCTTGTCATTCTTTTACTACGAAAATACACAAGACATCACAACACAACACAGTAAGATTTAGAGTCTTTCACAGTCAGTCACTCAGCTGGTCACCACCCTGAAAAAAAGAAGAATTATATGTATCTATTGGAATATTTCACATTTGTAAAACAAATATTTTAACTGAGAAAAAAATTGTGAGAATACACATTATTACACCATAGGATTACTATTGACTGTCTAACATCTAGTTAGACTCTGCTGTCACATGCGGGGGGTCACATGACCACGTGAAAAAACAAACAAACACAACAACAAGTAATAGTTTACTGTGGAAGAAATTAGTACACTTCTTAAAACTAGATGAATTAATTTTTCAGCGTAGAAGGAATGCAAACTGCTCAGTCTATTACACTTGGTAAATTACACATTAAAAAATGGAAAGGTATTGGAAAATAGAGAATAATAAAGACGTTTAAGAGGATATGGCAGATGGCAAATAGTTAAATGCATCTACACCAGTCACTGAGAATGAATTCCAGCCAGCCTTCATTTGTTCTTATCAACCTGAGAACTGCAAACAACCAGTTTGGAAGTCTACACCTCCCTGCGCGGCTATGAATTTCATAGACTGATTTCATGAGGCCATGTTTTAGTTTGACCATCACGTGCTATCTCTTTTCCAACCTGACCAACCCTTTGTCAGTCAGCTAACATTGTCTGTCGTAGAGGAAGGTGGTGATTCGACATGTGTAATATTTGTCTTAGCTCCATAATGGATAGAATGTTATTTGGATAAATCACACAGTGGCGTTTTACAGTACTGATGATAACCACGTTTCCAACACCCAGTGTATGCAATAGAAGTGACTCAACGCAAATACCAGAGATATGTGATGAAAGATATTACTACCGCCAGTTAAATCAGAGGATAATAAATAATGTTAAAATGTTGTGATAAATCACACAGTGTTGTACAGTAATATTAACTGATGACGTTTCGAGCACAAACTACTGCTCATAATCAATCAATCATATCAAAATGATATAATTTATAAAATACCCTGCAATGACTCTGAGGTCAACTACATAGATCAAACTAGTAGATCAGGGGTAGTCAGATTATCAGAACGTAAGAATTTAGCTAAGGTAAGAATGGTTGACCCTGAAAAGATAAGTAATTTAGAAAAAAGCTCAGCTATTGCACTTCATGCATTAACAAACAACCACACAATATGGTGGGAGAGGGTTAAGATTCTAAGAAGAAATATAGGTAGGTGGGGACAGATAGAGAGGTTGGTTACTGAATTCTTGTTTATCGAATAATCTACACCCAACACATTCAACAGAAATGACTCAATGCAAATACCAGAGATATGTATGGAAGATATTATTACCACCAGTCAGTCAAACCAGAAGGGGATAATAAATAATCTTAAAATTCTATTTCAATTCAAACACATCACAACATTCTAACAAGTAACTTATTATGACTATAAAAACACTCGTCGTATTTCCCATCTAATTGTAATGGATCAATAACACTCGTACGATTATTTCTGAATGTACATTATCTCACATTGGTTTTTAATCCAATATCTAATCCATTCCATACATACATATAAATGAAAGAAAAAAGTTGTGTGAGTTACTTGATATGATTACGAGCAGTAATAATTTGTACTCGAAACGTGGTCATCAGTTAATATTACTATACAACACTGTATGATTTATCAAAATAAAATCTTATCCATAATGTTAAAATATATTTCAATTCAATTCACATTATAGTAAACTGACAAGTTGTTCATTTATTTTACTATAAAAGTACTCGTTTTATTTCCCATCTGATTGACTAACAACACTCGTCCCATTTCTCATCGTATTATATTTTACTGATAACACTAACATTCGTTCCGAATGTACTTTATCTTCCAGTCTGTTTCACGCATGTCTTATATTGATTTTTATTCATATGTCTAATCGACTTTTACTCATGTGTATAAACGAAGTAAGAAAGTTGTGTGAGTAATGCCTTGATATTATAATTATGAGCAGTTAATAAGTTTTCCTGGAAACCCCGGTTATCATCAGTAAATATTCCTTACTGTATAACACCACTGTGTGTGATTTTATCAAAATAAAAATTTTATCCATAATGGAGGTAGGACAGGTGTTTCTACATGTCAAGTTACCGGCTTTTTCGACAACAGCCAATATTAGCTGATATAGGATCTTGGATCAGGTTGAAAAAGAGTTAACCCATGATAGTCAAAACCAAAACAGTTGGTTTAAGCAATCCATTTAGGGAGGTGTAAACTTCCTGACTGACTGGTTGGAGTCCTTGGAATGGCAAGAACCAATGAAGGCTGGAGACAATTGATGGTGTGACTCGAAATTGTTCTCAGTGGCTGGCGCAGATGCATTCAGTCTTTCTCGTCTGGCATATCCTGTTGCTAAATGTCATTATTCTCTATTCTCCAATGCCTTTCTCTTTGTGGGAAATTGAAATTTCATTGCCTCGATTGTTTTGAATGTCTGTTTGTTTTCACACTTTGCACCGATATACACCAGTTCAAGTCGCCACACTCCATGTATCACACAAAGCCAGAGAAGGAAGTAGAAGAAATGCATAATAGAGACAGTAAACAGAGGTGTGAGACAAAGGAATAGTAATAACGAAGAACAATATAGTTTCATTGGAAATCATAAGTCACAAGGAGTGGATGCATCTGCGCGAGCCATTGAGAGCGATTTTGAGCCATATCACCAATTGTTTCCAACCATAGATTTTTACCGTCCGAGGACCCCAACCAGTCAGGAAGTCTACACCTTCCTATGTGACTAGCTTAAACTAACTGTTGTGGATTTCGATGACTGGGGCCATGTTTTGGTTTGACCGACGCTAGCTCCTTTCTAGCCTGAACTTATTGCAGATAACACTGCCCGTCGAGGAGGGCGATAAATAGACATGCGTAACACATGTTCCAACCATCTCTCTCAGTCTATGTAACTTCACAGCCTCGTCTTTTGGTTTCCTCTCACACCTACCTAGCACTCGACCGATGCCTAACTTAAATGTTGCTCACCCTATTATACCACTTCACACGAGAGATAGAACTCAGACAACTTTGATCAAAAACAGCTAGCCAGGCTTTTCATGTCTTCAGTTCTCAAAGGTCAGGTCTCACAGCCATAAAGGAGGACGGAACGGGCTGTTCAGCAGTATACACGCTCTTTGGTCGAAAGCCAGACGGATATCACGTCTACGTCACAGACAACGTAAAATGGTATATGTGAAACTAGCCCTCTGTATCCGTGTTGAGATTTCGTCAGAGATCAACCCGTTGGCGTTGGCTGATGTAACTTCCCAAATAAGTGACGCGGTCAACGTGCTCTACCACTTCACTCCCTGTTTCTAAACTAGGAGTCAGTTTAGTCCAGTCCTGTAACATCATCTTATATTTGGCGACGGCGAATAGCATGCCAAACAATCGTAGATTGCAGCTCAAGGTGTTCAGAAGACTCTATTGTATTTTGTCAGAGTCTTCACCTACAAGGACTATATCATCTGCATATTCTAAGTCAATGAGATTATTCCCTGATGGTAACAAGTCAATCCCTGAGTCTCTGAAATCAGTTGGGGTTATATGTCCATTAGTACATCCATGATAAAACTGAATAGAAATGGGGATAGTGGGCATCCCTCCCTGACGGACACCACTTGTCGTCACCACTTCAGATAACAACTCGCCGTAAGCTCTCAGCTGGCTCACCGCATGAGTTCGTGTAGAGTGAGTGCCTTGATCAGTGCAAGGTATTTTCTCGGCATTCCTTTTACAGCCAAACATCGCCATAGTACCTCTCAGTCAATGGAATCAAATGCCGCTTTCAGGTCAAGAAATATGACGATTTTTATTTTACTCTTTTTTTATTTTAGATTATTCGTTCTAATTATCCAAATGGTGAAATCCATTGTTTAATTGGTTATACGGATATCGGAGATACTGAGGATGACAATGGCAATAATAATAAAAGCAATGATAATAATAATAACAATCTTATTACGATTAGTAAACAGCTAACTGCCTATTTAAAGGATTATTTTTTCCATTCTGGTTTAAATCAAAATCCACCTTTTTGGTGTGGGAAACACTACAATTGTACTAAATTAGTTTATGAGATGATTAATCCTATATCACATTCTACATTATATCCTATAAATAATTATTATCTATTCATTGTTCAACGTGTATACAATAACACCTATGGATATATGAGTTATGCACCGCATTTTGCATTTATCTCACCAGGTAAGCGTGAGAATGGTGGTTATCACAATTGATTTATGCATTATATATATATATATATATATATATATATATATATATATATGTATCCGAAATCCCCTAACATTCTAATTTTAATATGCATCGATCTGGTCTCATAATCCAATGATCCTGGCGGTCATTTTACCGTATCCTATTGTATGGTTATGTGTGAGATCGTATGTAGTACTATAGCTGAACTATTCTTTAGATTTCTTATCTTATTCAGGTCAACTAATCTAGATTTAGCTGCTAGGTTTTTATGCTTGGCTAGGCTGACTGTCCCTGTTCTACTGGTTTGACCTATGTATTTGACCTGACAATCATTGTGGGCAGGGTATTAGATAAACTAAATTGTTTTGTTTTAAAGGCTTCACAGGATTGATGCTTTAACCGACATAGCTTGTTTCTAATTGAGTTTGTGAGTGGTTTGAATGCCAGCCACTTTTATTCTTGCCTTGTTAAGAATTTTCCGCCGTGGGGTTTCCGAGGTTCCTTCTTTGTATGGAAGTACGACTGGTGATTTGGATTCCTTATTGTTGGTGTTGTCATTATCTTGCGCATGTTTGACATGCATGTCGTCATTGATATTACTATTATTATCATTATCACTATCACTACTATCATTATTTATTTTATTTTTACATTTCCTTACATAATTTCTGTCTAATTTATCAGGGTAATTTTTAAGTTTCAACGCTTCTCTTATATGCCACACTTCATGTCTTAGATTTTCTTTGGTACTTCTTAGTTTTTGTGCTCTGTCACTTAAACATTTCACCAATCCTATTTCCACTGACATAGGATGGGATGATTGGAAATCCAAATATCTGTTTGAATGTATGGGTTTCCTGTAAACATACACTAGTGTTTAACTTCCCATCTTCTTTCCTTTTTACGTTGCAATCTAACATTGGAAGCTCCCCTTCCTAACTTTCCAATTCACAAGGGAATTCAGTTGCCTGCACCTTTGATTTGATGTGTTCGATAAATCTATCTATATCTTGTGTTCTAAGTATAGTGAATGTGTCATCTACATACCTCCAGCATACTTTTGGGGTGAAACTGAACGTTTCTATCGCTATCTTTTCCCACCTCTCCATAAATATATCTGCTACAAGTGGGGATATTGGTGATTCCATGGCAATTCCCTCAGTTTTTTTGTATATTTTCGCCTGGAATTTAAATACTGTGGAAGTCAGGCATAGCTGCACTCCCTGCATTATGTCCTCGAGTGGCACTTTTGTCCTAAGTTCGAGTTCTTGGTCAGAAATGAGTTCGTTTCTGACTGCCTCTATAGCCATATTTACTATCGGTTTACGTGTATATAAACTGATAATGTCAAAAGTAACCATTTTTTCTTCATTATCTAATTTTAAATTATCTAATCTATGTTTTAGTTCATAAGAATTTGTTAGTTTAGATTTTGAATGGCTTTTTAGAAGATTTAATACCATGGCTAAATATTTAGGTAATTCATGAAAAGGTGAATTTCTAAAATCAATTATAGATCTGTCTAATAGGGTATCCTGACTTATGAACTTTAACAACACCATACATCCTACTGGGATTATTAGTTTTGGGCATTAAATTAAACCACTTAGATTCACCTAGAGACGGCTTCATTTAGCGTATAAGGTCCTCTGTGGATTTCTTAACCTTATTCATAACGGTGTCTATTGGTTTATTGATTTCCTCATATGGTCCAGTTTGTATGTGAGTATTCACCTTGTCCAAATAGTCTGATTTGTCTAATATTAATGTTGCATTCCCTTTGTCTGTGATCACTATATCCTTGTTATTCTTAAGGTGTTTTAGGGCGTCTGTCTCTGGTTTTGTCAGGTTAGGCTTTCCTCGTTTTATCGTTTCGTAACGTCCACACTCTCTTACAATATTATGGTGCTTACGTAATCTTATTCTCCTAATCTAATCTACTCAAAAGATGACCTCTAATGTCACCACTATTTAACTTCAGTTATCAGTTTACTATAATCTCAGGTGTTTTTAACACCTTATTTTTGCCCAATATTATATCCTCACGTCGAATTCCGTTCTTACGAACCTCCATCAGTCTGGATGACTGACTGGGTCATGCATCGCGTTAACCCTACCTCATGGAATAATAATAATTTATAACTTGTTCAACATTTTTCTGCCTCTCACGTGTTGTTTGTACTGTTTCCCTATTTTAATTATTTAAAATACACCTTTTAGATACTGCAGTTGACGTCTATCTTTCATTAAAACAATTGGTCGATGAATTCTTCATGGAGGTAAGTCAGGTGAAATACAGAAAACTGTTTTTACTTCTTACTGATAGATGTGTAAGATTATTATTATTTGTCCATGTTTTGTCTGTTGCTTCTGATAATAGAACCCTACTCATAGTCCTGCTGAAGAAGCCTTGTCTTACCTTACACGGCAAAAAACATCCAAAAATATAGTTCTGTTTTAATTTTCTAAACATGTTAGGATTACTAATGTTAATGCCTATTGTGCTTGACGTTTTCAGCTGTATTCTTATCGACTGAACTTAGTGCTTTATCTACGCTAGAAATGCCGTCTTCCTCGGGCTACACACAAAGCACTGGTTGTTTTAGGCAAATCTCCATAGCCTCTGCTGTTTGAAGCATGCGGTACTTCGATGTTTTTGGCAATTTATTTGGCACCCGGTAGATGATAGAGAAGGATTCTTCAACGCTTGCTTTGTGACCGGTTTGGACCACATGGTCTAATATCGAACTGTTGATGGTTTTTACTACACCTTTACTTAACCATACTGGTAGATGTTCCCGAGCGACCACGAAAAATCAAGTTCCTAGAGCAACGGCCAATATAACTTGGTCCACCACAAGCGTAGTTGAATTGGTAGATATAATTGAAAGTGGCTAGTCTAGGTACTTCAATTGAGGAATCATCATCGGTCGTGTAGAAAATCAGACTTGTAGTTGGCCAACATTAAAAGTTCTTCGAACTGATTTTCGTAACTTCTTCGTAATTACTTTGCTAGGCATATCGCCCTTGAATAGCTGTCGTATGTATAAAGGCATCTTGTTTACGGATAGCGAGTGCATAGTCCTTTTCAACTTTCTTAGTTATATGTTTCCTGATAAATTTGTCTCGATAGCTACTTTCTATGAAAGTATTATATACAATCCTTAGTTCATCTTCAGTCACCTCTTCTGAGCATATATAGCTCTAACCCTGCGACTGAGGAGGGTCCTTAATAAATTTCTTTTGTACTTGAGGTGAACGAAGCAATGGAAATATGTTTATTGTCCTGTCCACGTGCTTTTTCTATGCAAATTTCTCTTTGTGCTATCATCTGGTTTTCTTGTGAGGAGGACATCCAGGAAGGCGATTCTATTTTAGTATTCGTCTTTGCACGTTAATTTCATAGCAGAATGTACTTCGTTGAATTCAGTTATTGTGTTCCTATCCGAATCGCATTAGCACAAAGAATGAAAGTGTCATCCATATACCGTCAATAAAATAAGAATTCTCCGATAAGGTTGTTCAAATCGGCATTTTCTAGTTTACTTAGTAAAAAATCAGCCGAAATTGGACCCAATATGGAGCCTATCGCCACCCGTCCACTTGTCTGTTAAGTGTACCATCAAATTTGAAATTTGCATTCATGGTGGACCTTAATAGCAATTCTTTTAGGATTTCCGTTGGGATTCCAATGTTTTTCAACTGGTTCACATATGTAGTTAACCGTTTCTACTGGAGGTACATTTGTGAATAAAAATGTTATATCCAAAGATATCATAATTTTATCCTTGGCATTAATATCTTTTATTTTGTCTACGAATTTAAATACATCTTTGACGCTATACTTTACTATCTTCCCACGCAAAGGTTTGAGAATATTTACTAATCATCTAGGTAAAGGAGCATAGTAGGGCCACTTTTGCATATCAATTATTGATCTCAACGGTACCCCCGGTTCATATACTTTAGATAAGCCATACAATCTCGGCGTGTACGTGCCTGTTGGCTTGATTTCTTCAATATAAACTTTCAGGAAATATCTCTTCCTCCCTTAGTTTCTTCAATCGTCTGGTTAATTCCTTCTCTACTTTGTTATTGAAATATTTCTTCTCCTTAAGATTTGAAACTTCTATGTGTCTTTCCGAATTGGTTCATTTAATTGCCGAGTTTTTGTTGCTCCTCTAGACACAACATCATTTCAGCGCAGATGTTAGTATGAAGTGAAGGCACGATATGTATTCCTTTCTCATACCGATATACATGTAGAATAATTATGGACACCAATGGATGATTGGTAGAATATAATAAATCTTAAATACAAGAAACACACCCAAATCTAATGCCAGAGTAATTCATAGAAGCCTGGTACATGTTTGGCATGCGATTCGCTCCCGTCAAATGCAAGATGATGTTACAGGACTGGACTACATCGACGCCTAGTTTAAAAATAGGAAGTGAAGTGGTAGAGCACGTTGACCGCTTCACTTATTTGGGAAGTACCATCAGCCCCAACGGGCTGATCTCTGACGAAATCTCAGCACGAATACAAGGGGCTCGTTTCGCATTTGTTAGTTTACGCCGACTCTGGCGTAGACGAGATGTTCGACTATCGACCAAAGGGCGGGTGTACTGCTCATCAGTCCGCTCCGTCCTCCTTTATGGCTAGCTGTGAGACCTGGCCACTGAGAGTGGAAGACATGAAAAGACTAGCTGTCTTTGATCATAGGTGCCTACGTTCTATTTCCCGTGTAAAGTGGCATAATAAGGTGAGCAACATTGAGGTTAGGCGTCGAGTTCTAGGTAAACAGGGGAAATCAATCGACGAAGTGGTGAAGCTACAAAGACTGAGATGGTTAGGACATGTGTTACGTATGCCAAGCCATCGCCTCCCTCGACGAGCAATGTTGGCGGATATAGGGTCAGGCTGGATAAAAGCTAGCGGCGGTCAAACAAAAACTTGGCATCAGTCAATGAAATCCACAACAGTTGGTCTAAGCCACGTAGAAAGGTGTAGACTTCCAGGCTGGGGTCCTCGGGACGGTAAAAATCTATGGTTGGAAACAATTGGTGACATGGCTCAAAACCGTTCTCAGTGGCGCAGATGCATCCTTTCCTTGTGACTTATGATCTTCAATGAAACTATTTTGTATTTCTTTATTACTCCTTTGTCTCACACCTCTGCTCACTGTTTCTATTATGCTTTTCTTGTACTTTCTTCTCTTGCTTCGCGTGCTACACGGAATGTGGCGACTTGAACTTCCGCACATTTGTGCAAAGTTCTATGTCGAAAACAGATAGACAGACAGACAGGTACTCAGATAAACCAGAGATCAAATTTACCAACTAATAAAGATGAACAAATCACATGACAAGAAAGTTTATATTCCAAGTTAATAAAAACTCCCAATAAAAATATAAATTGACAACCACTCACGACATTTATTGTTCACCAGGAAAGACAATTTAAATCATGCTTCATTTCGAATTCAAATAAGTTCATTTCATACTAAAACCTGCGCTGAAGTGATGTTATCTAGAAGGAGGACAGTGAAAGCTTCACAATTAAATCCACCTGAGCTACAAATCTTCTCCATTATTTTATTATTGATAATATTTTATTGATTTTTTTATTTGTATATTTAATAGTAGTTACGATATGTATTTCACTCTGTTCTCTCTCTCTCTCTTCTTTCTATTGGCCTTCATTATCGATTTATTATCGTGGTTGGTACGCTGTGGTACACAATGGCCTCGCGCATATGTACTAATCCAACAACAAACGCCGCGTATCAAGTTACACAACAAACAGTCTAACAGGCAGTCGAATGTCAATGTGAAACACCTGTTAAACATGAGTGTTGTTGCACTGAAACGTTATGACTATTCTGAAATGATATTGAATCGTAAATTGGAAATATTTGGAAAACGTTTTATCATTATTCTGATGTCAGTGCATAAATATTTAGCTGTTGCATGTATGACAATCTGTTATTGTACTATTATGTGTTCCGATAAAGAGACTGGTTTTCGTTCATTAATGGCATTGATGGGTTTACGTCGACTGTCGTTTATCTTATCACATTTTATATTATGTCAAGGTAAATATTGATTATTATTATTATTATTATTATTATTATTATTATTATTATTATTGTATTTTCTTGATTGTTCTACCGTGTTTATGGATGTTTCTGTTGTGAGGTTATTCTTTCAACAGCTGCTCTACACCTGACTTACTGATACATAGTCAGCATACAACATGTAGAGTAGTTCAAGTTGCCGCATTCCATGTGGCTCAGACCAACTGTCCAATGCAGAGTCTTCTGAACACCTTGAGCTGCAATCTACGATTGTTTGGCATGCTATTCGCCGTCGCCAAATATAAGATGATGTTACAGGACTGGCTGGACTGCATCGACTCCTAGATTATAAATGTGAAGTGGTAGAGCACGTTGACCACTTCACTTATTTGGGAAGTACCATCAGCTAACACCAACGGGTTGATCTCTGACGAAATCTCAACACGGATACAGAGGGCTAGTTTCACATATGCCAGTTTACGCCGTTTCTGGCGTAGACGTGATATCCGTCTGGCTTTCGACCAAAGAGCGTGTATACTGCTGAACAGCCCGTTCCGTCCTCCTTTATGGCTGTGAGACCTGACCTTTGAGAACTGAAGAAATGAAAAGCCTGGCTAGCTGTTTTGAACATAGGTGCCTGCGCTCTATCCCCCGTGTGAAGTGGCATAACAGTGTGAGCAGTAATGAGGTTAGGCATCGGTTGAGTGCTAGGTATGTGGGAGGGTAAATCAATCGACGAGGCTGTGAAATTACATCAACTGAGATGGTTAGGACATGTGTTACGCATGCTAGCCTAGTCATCTCCTTCCTGAACGGCAGGCAGTGTTAGCTGACATAGGACCAGGTTGTTGTAAAAAAGCCAGTGGTAATAAAACCAAAACCTGGCACCAGTCATTGAAATCCACAACAGTTAGTTTAAGCCAGCTACGTAGGAAGATGTAGACTTCCTGACTGGTTGGGGTCCTCGGGACGGTAAAAACCAATGGATAGAGACAGTTATCGGTGATATGGCTCAAAATCGTTCTCAATGGCTCGCGCAGATGCATCCACTCCTTGTGACTTATGATTTCCAATGAAACTATATTGTTCTTCGTTATTAGTATTCGTTTGTCTCACACCTCTGTCTTCTGTCCCTATTATGCATTTTTTCTACCTTCTCTTGCATTGCGTGCTACATGGAGTGTGGCGACTTGAACTGTTGAACATCAGTACGAAGTTCTATGTTGAAAACAGACAGACGGACAGTCAAAGTCTTCATAGACTGATTCCATGTTTTAGATTGACCACTTCCAATTGTCCTTCAACATAATCTTATGTCGACTGACATTCACCGTCGAAAAAAGGGTCCTACCATATATAAAGGACATCTCAGAAATAAATCACCACAAGACCCTTCAAACCTTGATAAGGGGAATTGACGTCGCACACAAACCAACAAAATCACTTCACTCAGTTGGCTCTGAGTCAACGAAAAGACTCAACAACGAAAGAAGATAAAACCAACATCATCTACAAAATATAAATTGTAACAACTGCGAAAAACACTACATTGGCTAAAGTGGACATCCCCTTCGTCTTCGTATCCATGAGCATAAACTAGCCATCAAAAGACATGATATCCACTCCCTCAAATCACTCATTACATGCAGACAACTGTGGAAATCAATTCGATAGAGACAACCAACGTTCAAATAATAGACAGGGGAAACAACAATGTTAGAGAATTTTTAGAAGCCTGTCTGGTATTTCAGTCAATCATCAATCAATAGACACATCGAGATAGATTAAATTTATCAACCAATAAGAAAGAAATCTCATACACAAAGGGTCAAAGTTCAAATACAAGTAGCCTAGAAGGTGTGAAAACACACGAAAAACAACCAATCACGACGTTGTTCAAGCTCACCACCAGGAAAGAGGACTAATAAACTCGTGGAGAAATCTAAAAGCTCACTTCAGCGAATCGAAGTGTATACGCTGAAGATGTTGCCTAGTAGGCTGGTGAAAGCTTCACAAATTAACCATCCAGCTCAGAGGACATAATCACAAGAAAGGTTAATAGTTAGGCATGTATAACACATATCTATCTTAGCCATCTCTATCGATGTAGCTTCACAATCTCATTGATTAACTTACTCTGCTTACCTAACACTGTACACCTCACTTCAATATTACTCATTGTATTATTATACAACTTAACACGTGAGACTGAACGCAAACATCTGTGGTCAAAGACAGCTGGTCTCTTCATATTTTCTACTTTCAATGAGCAAAGTGAACTTCTGCTCTGTACATTCGTCCTTTGACCGATGGTCAGCCGGATACCACGGCTACGCTAGAGAGGACGTAAGCTGACAAATCCCATGTCAGCACTAACTTTTAGTGTGGAGATAGAGAGTGAATTAGTTGAGCGTGTCGTCCACTTCACTTATTTGACAAATTACATCAGCCTTAATGCACTGACTGATTGCTGAGAATATCTCACCCTTCGTCACCATTCCACTGTAGATCTGATATCCGATTATCGATCAAGAAATGTGTGTACTGCTCAGATGGCCTGCTTTCTCCTCCTTTATGTGATGGCTATGAAGCATTGATTAATTGAAAGTGGAAGATATATGAAAAGGCTAGTTGTCTTTTTAACCGTAAAAGTTTGCGTTCTATCTTCCATGTTAATTGGTATCATATGATGAGCAATAGTGAAGTTATGTGTAGAGGCGTAAGGAAATCCATCCGAGGTGATTTCATAAATTGAGATGATTATAATACGTACGCGTTACTCAAACCAAATCATTGTCTGACTCGTCAAACAATACTAACTGACATAGAATTAGATCGGAAAAGAATTAAGGGTGGCAGGATCAAAACGTAACACCAATTCTTGAAGTCTTTAACACTACGAATGAATCAATGTCTGGGGAATCTTGGTGATATGTCTTAATATCGTTCTCAATAGTACAGACTGAACCGCAGTTTGTCATCTCTCATATGCATTAAATTATCACTATTCTCCATGTAATTATGTGTACTTTTGTTATTTTTTAAAATTTATTTTATTTCTTTACTTTCACAGTGGAACATAGGGCACCTTCAAGCTAGAGCTTTGAAGTTTCGGTAGCACTGGTTGTATTCTCTTTTATGGGAGTGGGGTTGCTAACCAGCCTCATTCCCAACCTCCCTACCTCTTTATCAGTCGGTGGCACAGTGGTTAGGACTCTCGCCGACCATGCACATGGTCCGGGGTTCGAGCCCTCGCCGATGCACACCTGATATCTATGGTCGGCCTGCGAATTTTGGGCTACTGATATCCACGCTGAAAATTCCATACTTGTACCAAAAATACAGTGTGGAATCAAGCTGTAATCAAAAAAAATATAAAAATAGATAAATTGTGGTGAGAGCTGGCTGTTAGTCAAAATCGGTGGACAGTAATTTACGTCAATGCTTGTATCCCCAATATTGTTCGTGAGAAAAATGAGAACAAAGGCTTTGCGTAAGCGGATACATTTAACGAATAGATGATCTGACATTCAAGAAACAGCCACAAAGAGATGTAAGGTTAACTCTCTGTGAGAAACAAACAATCAGAAGACTGTGTTTTTCTGCTAACAATAATCTATAATAATGTACATGAAAATATATAAATATGTGTTGGTTTCGTAAAAAAACGATCTGGCGCCTGGCCCTTGCCTTCTGTTGTTACATTATTACTGGCTCAGCAAGGTAAAAGGGAGTGCGTCAGTGGGCGGGGATCGGTCCACGAACCCCATATGGTGTTGTTGGCGAGCATTCTACCTCTGTGCCACAGACGCACAAGCCAGCTCCTCGACTGGAAATCGAACCTGGGCCTTCCATGTGATAGGTGGAGATACTCACCACTATACTACCGAGGGGGTCGGTGGCACAGCGGTTAGGAAGCTCGCCGACCATGCACATGGTCTGAGGTTCGATCCTCGGTCACCGACGCACTCCTTTACCTCGCTAAGTCAGAAATAGTGCTGGTAAAGAGGAAAGGTTGGGCATGAGGCTGGCTAGCAACCCCATTCTGTAAAAATAAACACTACTGCTACAGAAACTTCAAGCCACCAGCTTGAAGGAAAAAAATACTATCGAGGAGTGTACTTTTGTGTTGTGTGGCAGTTTGAAGCAATTCATATCTGAGTTGAAAAATTCAGTCCATATGTATATATACGCCATTCTTTGTGAAAAATCTAACTCTATAGTCTGTAAACAAAAAATGTACATAATTTATTGACATTATTTTTTTTATTGTTTTCGTGTCTACATTGTTATTTTAAAACAAGATTATTAATGATAATACTAAATGTGACATTACAATGTGAAAAACAACTTTCAAAGATTAAATACCATACAACATTAACGAAAATAACAACAACAAAAGAACACATCGTAAACTCAAAACTTTTATTATATTTATGTGTGTTTTAAAAGCCTACTGGCTTTCTTACAATCAGTAAAAAGAAGGATTAGACCACGAATTGATATTAGTTAGAGAACCATTAGAAACCAACAAGGAGTACTGCATAGCCGGCTGTTTCATCCCAGTTTGGGACTCTCATCAGCATTATGCACCCAACGCCAAGGTTGAAACCCAGAACCATCTGATCACAAGGTGAGCTTGTATACCATTCAACCACTACCGGGACCTGATTCCTCAACAGCCAGTCCATAAATTCTAACTTCTACCAATTCCTGATTTTAGCGCGACCATCAATAGAGCCTGGCTACAGGACGAAGTTGCCTAGAGTCCTAGTGAGAAGTCGTGATTAGTGAGGTTTATTCAATTGGGAGTGAGGATAGAGAACTCACCGATGACATTGGTTGGTGGTCGCCCTAAAATCACGGATTTTAAAAGTTAGAATTTATGGCCTAGTATTAAGGAGTCGGGTCCCAGTGGCTGAATGTTATACGAGTTTGCCCTGTAACCGGAACGTCCTGGGTTCGAACCCCGCTGGTGGGTACATACTGCCGAAGATTCCCAAACTAGGGTGAAACAGTTGTCCAGTATTCCTTGTTGGTTTCCAATGGTTCTCTGACTGATATCGATCCTTGGTCTTATTATTATTATTATTCCCTTGGGTTCCTAGTGGAATATAGGGCTTCAACTGCACGTCTCCACTTGCTTCTGTCTTCCTTCTGCTGTACTCCTCACCTGCATCCATGTTAGTCCGTACTGTTTCAACTCCTCGTCACACGATCTTCCCCATGTCACCCTTGCACTGACGTCCCACTCGCCGCTTCCCTTTCGGCTTGGTTCCACTCGAGCAATGGCCTGACGCGCGCGATGTCACCCAGCGGCCTCCGCAGTGAGTGTCCAGTCCATCTCCATCCACTTTCTCCTGCATATTTGTTGGGCGATTGGTTCGTTTTCTCTGTTCCCATAGTTTCTTGTTGGTGATTCTTTCCGGCCCGGCCATCTGATCTTCAGTATAGAGCGATAGTTGACAGTTTTTGATGAAGGTCTGCAACAGGCTGTTAGAAATATTCTTTGTGACCCGCCCGCCAAGTTTATGATCCGTATAGAAGAGCTGACTGACTTGACGTCTGTATTGAAAATCCTACCGAATTTTGTTGTTGATGCTGAATGACCAAGATTTCCAGATTGGTTTCAGGTAGATGAATGTGTTTCTCGCCTTCCCGATTCTCGCTCAATTTGACATCCTCGTCCGTTTCTCCTGTAGTTGAGACAATGCTGCCTAGATCAGTGAATGAAGTAACCTCTTTCAAATCCTTCCCGTTGATGGTGACTGGCGCTGGATGTTGCTGCTGTTGTTGTTGGTTTGGTTATTTTCATAACCTCCATCTTGTCTTGGATTCCTGTCTTCGCCGGCTGCTTCTTCGACCAGTTTGTCGGTCGGTTTTCGCTTGTAAGTCTTCAATTTTGTGACAGTGACATCAAACATAAATCATCTACGCGCGAAATCCAGGTCTTCTAGGTTCTTCACGTCGATCCAGGATATCCCTGTCTTCTCGTTTCCCACTCGCTGTCTGACGCATAATCCAGTCCACCACAATTAGGAATATCATTGGTGATAATAAGCCAGCACCCTTGTCTGACTCCTGTGTTTACCCGAGTAGTTTGAGCTTATTTCTTTAGATCCCGTCGATCTGATTGGTTGGTTGATGTAAGTGGTGTATGACTACTACTCACTGCAGTCAATCAGTAGTATACAAGCAACAAAATAGGTATAATATTCATGTAATCAAATATTTATTTTGGACAGAAGTCTATGTGTTCCTAAGGTGTTTCACTTCAAAAATACTGAATTAATGTCCTACATATGTTGGCTTAAGACAGTCAGTTATTGTTACTACGTAAAGCTCTTAGTTCTACCTAAATCTCACAGCCTTTTGTACAATTACATTTCGAGTGGATTATGGATATGTAAACAAGATAATCTCATCCTGATTTAATTAGAGTTGAGCATTTCTCATCAAAACTTAAGTCTTTACTGTGTCGAAAATCATGTGTGGAGAGTCGGATTAGGTTGTGTTATCTTTTGTGTGAGTTTGTGCATTTGTATGACATAATCACCGACTTATATGCCTAGAAATGAACAAGAAGGGATTTAACTCTCAGTTTAATATTTCAAATCATGCGCTCTCTTTCAGATTATGACTTTAATTGGCAAGTGGTTGGCTATATATGTGTATATAGTCACGAACTGACATCAGTTTGAGAATCCTTGGACACCAAGGAGCACTGGAAAGATGTTATATCCTGATTTGGGATATCCATGATTCTATCGGAGATTGAACCAAGAATCTGCATGCCACTAGGCCCTCGATGTGCAATACTGATACGTGCCAAACTAAGATGTAACAAGCATCCAGTTATTCCTGGTTTTCGATTATTATTAATATTACTCCTTTGGGTTCCAAGAGAGCTTCATCAAAACACCTCCATTTCATCCTACTCTCTGCAGTCCTTTGTAGCTTTACCAATTCTACCTTTAACGTATTAATCTGAGCTCCCTGTAGGTGAGGAAGGTGACTTCTTTCAAACTTCTCCCAATGATGGTGATTAGTGTCTGTTATTATTGTTGTGTGTCAGGTATCTTTATCACCTCTGTCTTCACTATGTTCACTTGAAGTCCTATCTTTTCTGCCTGCCTCCTCATCTACCAACTTGTTGGTTTTCGTCTGTAGGTCTTCGAGTTCAACTGACACTACACATAAGTCATCCGCGAAATCCAGGTCTTCTAGAGTCTTGTTAATCAGTTCAGCGTATTCCTGTCTTCCTGCTACCAACAGTATGACACATGATCTTGTTCACCAGTAATCAGGAATATCATGGGTGATGGTGGGACAGTGTTATATAATGGCAGTCTTCACTTCGCTGAGTTCTCCCCCCCTCCCCCCCGGGTGAATCACTTGACATCTGGCATCATCATACAGCAGCTGTTGAATAAACTCGATAAATTTCATACATTTATTCCCCTTAATGAATATGAACAAAGTAAGAACTACAGTTTTAGCAGAATAATATTGGTACAATCATCGCTTATTTCGTTGGCTTCTCATCAGCTGTTTACAGCCTAAATCAATTTTGAGGTTTAAGTACAGACATGTTTTAACATACTTGCAAATTTTACATGTTGTCAGTTGACAGAAAATTCCACAATTAGTAAACAGTGCTCAGAAGATTGCGTTTATATAGTTTTCACACAGGCAGTTCAAGTTAAAACAAAATAAATGTATGCAGAAAATGGTAAAGGAGTTACATAATTGTTATGTACTCGTCGCTAAATTGTTGTTATGGTCTGGTCGAGAAATTAAAAGTCCTGACGCGAGAAGGCGGAAATCAGAAGACCACTAGGTTTGCGATGATACTTCTATTGTCCAAACACAAGGAGACGAAAATAAAAATGGTCTCACACCAAAGTGGTAAGTAAGTAAAGTAGTTCACACAGAATGTGTGAACGAAATATATATATAACAAAATATATATAGCAGACATGTCAAACAACCATCATGTATGGATATATGTCACCAAGCAACGGACTGTCAACAAACACTCATATTATATATAATATAAGGAGAATACACATTAATAAAGGAGACAAGTTCACACAAGTGAAATGGTCACAGACTAAGCGAGCAAACAGAAAGAGAGACTAACATACACACACATACATATATATGTGGATACATATCAATAATAAAGATGAGATGTGCGTTAGATGCACAGTGACTAGTAAGTTAGGTAACAATGTACTGAGTTGAGCTCAAATTATAGAAACAAGAGACAAGCAAAATTACAGATTATAAAAGGGAGGATGAAGTTAAAGACAAAGATTACATAACCAGATGAGAGAATAAAGACATCCAGTTAGCAGGCGGATGAAGAAAGACTAATAACTGCTTCTTTCTGAACACATAGATCTGGTTTCAAGCGTTTGATAGAAATCGTTTCAGCAAACTTAAGGAGAATTGAGCTCTTTTGCCTGTTGATAATTTTGAACGACTTTTCGACGTCCACCTCATGACCCGTGCCGAGGAGATGCCTGGCGATGGCACTGTTTAAAGCATTTGTTCCCTTTAGACGTAAGCTTTTTGGTACGTGTTCAGATAAAGATTTGCAGCACTCCGTAGTTTTCTAGAGAATCCCAAATTACTTCACAGTCAACTCTGTTGAAGACTTTTTCAAATCTATGAAGTTGAGGTTTTAGAGATGAATGTCATTCTGTGGTTTACAATCCTGTCCAAACATAATTTACCATTTACTGAATCCAGCTTGTTCATTGTGACATCTTGCATCCAAAATATATCTTAGTTTCTTAGCTAGCTAGAATGGTGGTCACATTGCAACCTGACTGATAGAATTCAGTCTACACCAATCAGAGGACTAGACGCATCACACTAGTTACTAGTGTCAAATCAAAATATCCACTACAGTCCTACAGGAGGTCGATCGCGAGCCCGAATAGCTCAGTGGTAACGTCTCTGACTGCAGCACTGGGTGGCGCGGGTTCGAATCTCAGAAGAGATATGAGCTCCTTCAGGGTTGCAGATACGCCTTGCTGACTGATGAGTGCCAACTAGCGCGAAACCTAGGTCCAAGGCTTCATGTGGCTGATTCCCTCCAACCATCTAATACCATCATATCTTAGTTTCTCCAGGATGACACAACTTAAACTCACTTTTCTATCGTGGAGGCGTATAGCATACGTGCCCAGCTTGTAGGTATATCGTCTGAAGACGCCACTATTTGAGTATGGACCCTGACTGGTAAATTTCACAATCGTAGAAATGAGGCGAAGGACTATAGGTTGGCAATCTCACAGAGGAGAGGATTTTGATTGCTTAAGAGTGATTCACTTCTCTTTCGCCGAAGGATGAGGATGGAGGTGGAAAGGTTGGTGATTCCCAGTCCACCGTGTTTTTAACCTTCGTATAGAAGTATGCTATAGGGGTGTCCTTCGGGAGCCACAGCCATTGCCGCATCACGGTGCGAATCATTGTGTCTAAGTGTTTGAGGGTTCCTTTATGGGTTAGTCGTAGCATCAGAGGATAAACGAGTCTAAGAATGAGGCAGTCCTTCAGGATGCATGTTCGTGCTTGAGGAAATTTCGTTTCTAACTTATCTTCCGTACATATTCAGTCGATATTGCGGTGAGTTGGGCATCGGAAGGTGACCTGGAGTAGATGAGAGAGCCTATGAGTGATCGTGGGGCCAGCTAAGAAGAACTCTAGAGAAAATGACAGTGTTGAGATGTGCTGTTAAAGCCCTACATTCCACTCGGAGCCCTAATGAAATGATAATAACACTAATAATAGTCGATTAGTTACCCTTATTCCTGTGCTCTAATCCAATCAAGTCATACAATGTTCTTCTCTATTTGTTTTTTTCTTCTACCAGTATCTGTAATCATCTTTTCTGGTATGTCAACTTTAATCGATTATTTGTTCAGCTCAAATTTAACTGATAAAGACATTACAAATAAAGATCATTGGCTATTATTTGCAGTCAATATTATAGCTAGTTGGCATCAATTCGGTATGGCTCTTATTCTCTCATCAATATCACGTTCAACAAAGTATTTTTTATTCCCCTTATTAACTGTATTCGCTATATTGGTCACTTTTCAATTGATTATAAGTCATAAAGCATCAGATGTTCAGTAAGTTACTGTTGTTGTTGACGATGATGATGTTGAATATTTTAAACAAGATGGCTTTTTATCATTTTTTCTTCTTTAACTATGACAGGTATATACTACTGATTAACTGAGATATGAGTAGCTGAGAATCATGCAGGTCAATTAGTAGTGCGCTTACTAGCTAGCTAGCTAACTAGCTGTCTAACCAGATGGAAGTGTGATCTGATCACCCAACAGTCATTTGGGACTGAGATCATTAGAGTGTTGGTGATCAGTGTCTGTAAGTATGGTATGTGCTTTGCACCGTCTAAGTGCAAGGTACTGTTACAAGATTGGCAGGAGCCTGCACCCGCACTCACTCTTGCTTGCAGGTGAACCACTTGAAATTGTTGATAAGTTTGTGTACCTGAGTAGTTGTGTGAGTGCTGGTGGGGAGGGTTGACGGATGAGATTTCCAACTGTATAATGAAGGCTATGATGGCATACATCAACTTGAGCCACCTATGGCGCCGTCGCGACGTTAGCCTGGCTGTCAAAGGCCGGGTATACAATGCTTCGGTGCGGGGTGTCTTGCTCTACGCCTGTGAAACCTGGCCTCTCCGATTAGGCTGAGGATGTGCGGCGGCGACTCTGCGTGTTCGATCATCTCTGTCTCCGCAGGATTGCTTGCGTTCTATGACATCGTCGTGTGAGTAATTCTGAGGTTCAGTGGTGTGTGTTTGAACACAGTGAAGATCACCATTCATTGAGTGTCGACATCTGGAAGCAACGGCTCCGGTGGCTTGGACATGTGCTGCGAATGTCATCCCGGAGGCTTCCGTACAGGTCTCTGTTCGCTGGCCAGCCCTGGGACGGGATGGAAAAGGCAGAGAGGTGGTCAGTCCATGGCGTGGCGTCGTGGGATGAAGGATGTTTGTGCTAGATTAGCATCGGTTGGTGTGTCACGACTCCCTGGTTGGGGTCCAAGAGATAGCTCGAATCGATGACTCGAAACGTTATCGGATATGGCCAGGAGTCGTAATCAGTGGCGATCGTGTTGCAATTTCCTTCTATCTTCCCTTCCTGATGATAGTTAACGAATACTGTTTGAACTTGTTAAGCATGACTGTTTTCCTTCCAGATGAAGTTCTTTATCCGTTCTCTACTTATATATTTTTTGACTTTTGATCTATGTTGTTTTATTATTATTGTGTGGCGCATCTTTCTTGGTGCCATATTATACCAAGTTTTTTTGCGTTTAAATAAAATATCATTACAGTGATGTATTCGGTGTGACTCAGTTCAAACCATCTGATCTCTGGCCTAGATATTTGAGCAGTAAGCTGGTAATACTTCAAAATTTGAATAACTTCTGTATCAAAAGGAGGGAAATTGTGAAACTGAAATTTCACTGATGAAATTGTGTAAATTTTCAATTATTAGTTTTGTAGGGATTTTTGTTTAATTGGTTGGAGGGTTTCATTACCAGGTGACACCATTGGAAAACCTGCAGGGAGTACTGGACGGCTGTCACGTCAATCTAATTCGGGACTCTTCACAGTAGGCACCTGCCACAGGGGGTCGAACCTAGGACCTTATGGTCACAAGGCGAGCTCGTTTTCTCTAAATGGTTGGAAGTCATGATGCAATCCTGCAACCAATCAAAGAAAATTCCTACAAAACCAATACTAGAAAAATGATCAGAGGTTCACTAGCGACTGGCCCTATTCAGTCAGTTACCTGGGGTTCTAGTGGGAAGCCGTAACCAGTAGGGTAAAACAGGTCGAAGGCGAGGACAGTTAGTCATCGAAGAAGACATTGCTTAGTTGTCGCACTATGTCATGAATTGGCAGAAGTTGGAATTCATGAGTTGGCCATTGAATGGGGTTCCAGTATGTGAGTGTGAGTCTGCGAACTCGCTAGTCTTGTAACTAGAAGATCCTGGTTCCGAACCCATGCGGTGGGCGCACTAGTGAGGAGTCCCAAACTAGACTAACGAATACTGGCTGTCCAGTACGCTCCCTGTGGCTTGTTTTCCGAAGGTTCTCTAAATGAACTCAGCTCATGATGAAATCCTCCAACCAGTCACTATCTGGTTTGACGAATATAGTCAGTTATGGATTGCTGAATTAGGTTTCTGGAAATGCAAAGAAAAAAATGGTTGGAAACTGTTTTTGACATCCATTAAAATCGTGCGAATTGACACAGATGTGTATGTATTCACTTCAGCATTAAAATTTTAAATTTTAAACCTATTTAATAATCTTAACTGAAATATTCTTCACACACTTTCACATTTGTATTTTTCTGTCACTGATATTATTCTACCATACACTGCCTTAATCTATTCCGTGTGTGTTTATGTGTATGTGTGTGTGTATTATTCCATAGTCTGCCCGCCTACATGAACAAACACTCGTGTTTTTAATATAATACGTGTGTTTTGCTTTTCAATTCAATCAGGCAGTCTGTCTATCTGCCTGTTTGCTACCATGCCTATCTATTGATCGATAGTTTGAAAATCATACTTTGGCTTTGCAACCAGGCATTAGATGATTTCTGGTAATGTTGAAATAAATATGTATCATGAAAATTAGAAAGTATCTAAACCACTAACCAGCTATATAATAGTCGATAATAATTGCGTAAATCACAGCGATTATTGTTGATTATTATGGATGAAAGTACTTTTCAAGAAATTGTTTCTAGACTTTTCATTTCTTTCAAGATTTTGATCACGGATTGATATCAGTTAGAGAGCCATTGAAAACCAGGGAATACTGAACAGCCAACTGTTTCATCCTAGCTTGGGACTCATCGGCAGTACGTACCCACCACAAGGGTTTGAACCCATGACCTTCCGCTTAAAAAACAAACTTTTCTGAATTAATCTGGCTGGAGGGCGAAGCTGCCTGGAGTTCTAGTGAGAGATCATGACCAATGAGGTCCACTCGATCGGGAGTGAGGACAAATACTCTCTAACGATGTCATTGGCTGGTGCCAACCGCGCTAAAACCACGAAATGGTAGATAGGTAGAATTCATGGGCTGGTCACTGAGTCGGTTCCCAGTGGTTGGAATTGTCCATGAGCTTGCATTATAACAGGAAACTCATGGGTTAGAACCCGTGTGGTGAGCAGTTTACTACTGATGAGCCCCAGACTAAGCTGACAAAAAAGCTGACTGTCCAATAACCCTTGCTAGTTTTCAATCCATGAACAAATTTGAAATAATATTACTACTGAAAAGTTGTGTTTATTTAATTAACTGCTATACGAATTGACATTGTACTGTAAATTTATCAGATGGATATCAGATGCGTCGGTGGCAGAGCGGTTAGGACGCTCGCCGACCATGCAGATTGCCCGAGATTCGAACCCCGGCGGACGCACTCCTTTACCTAGCTGAGCCAGAAATAAAGCTGGTAAAGAGGAAAGGTTGTGGGTATGAGGCTGGCAACCCTATCCTGTAAAAATAAACACTACTGCTACAGAAACTTCAAGCCTCTGGTTTGAAGCCCCATGTTCCACTGGGAACGTGAAGGAATAAAGAAAAAAGAGGCATTCGGTAGGAAACCCTGTCCGACCTAAGTTTCATGCTTGTTGGTTTTCACATATCCGTCAACAAGTCATATCTGCAATCTTGAAGGAACCCTTATACCTTGTTAGATTTGAATCCAATGCTGCAGTGTCAAAGACGTTACCACTGATCTATTTGGGCTCGTAATTGACCTCCAGTAGGACTGTATTGGATATTTTTGATTGTACACTTGTTACTACTTAGTGTCGAATCAAAGCAGTTGGCTCATGTTGAAAATTTATTGATAAGACAGTTGGAACAAGTTAAATTAGAGGAGACCTTCACGATTCACGAGTGCTAACAAGCACGAAACCTAGTTCGGAGGCCTCCGAACATTTAATAACAATAAATCAGAGTACACTGTGATGTCAAGTCATCAAGTTGATAGAATTCAGTCTGCAGTAAGCTAAGGACAAGGCTCATGATACTAGTTACTAACTAGTACCCAATCAGAGTATTGTAGGTTCATTGAGGCATGTTATTTTCTGAATGAGATCTTTTAAACCACAGCTACCTTCACTGGCTCCATGCTGAAATTCAAGTGGTCTTTCGCGAAGGATAAGGAAAAATAAATTGTGTCAACGAACCAACCAATGATATTTAGCCTAACAAATACATTGAAAGAAATAGAGATGGACCTGGATGCAGTCTGAATAGTCCGCTGAGTAACACTAAGCTCCAGCCAGGCCTTCGAATGAAACCCGAATATGAACCAGTGGGTTTGAGGGGTCGAGGGTGACATGGAGGAGATCATGTGAAGAGGAAATGACAGCTTGTAGGCAATCATGGGACCAAGTAAACAACACAGTAGGGAAGAGATTGGAATGGACTTGTATTGCTGATACCGTTTTCCAATCGAAACCCAAGGCATAAGTATTAACAATAAATAATAATCATGCACCTAGTCTTTAACGATGTTCACTGGATGCAATCAATCATGTTGGCATTATTGCAATCATCTGTATTACTACAGACAATTTTGAGCCATACCACCAACCATCAATCGTTTTCACCCTGAGGAATCTTTATATTTCAAATTAAAATTTAGTGGCATCGTAACATTTTTTATTCATTTACGTTCCCAGTGGAACACAGGACACCTTCAAGCTAAAGCTTTGAAATTTCGGTAGCGGTGGTGTTTTATTTTTATGCGATGGGGTTCCTAGTCAGCCTCATGCCCAACCTTCCCTATTTAGCAGTCTTATTATTAGCTTATCGAAGTTTGGGAGTGCGTCAGTGGTCGGGGATTGATCCCCAAACCACGTGTGGTGTAGTTAGCGAGCATTCTACCGTTGTACCACCGACGCATCGTAACATGGTGACATTTTTTTTCATCTAACCACTCCTAACTCCTCCAAACTTATCCTTCATCAGCTCATATCACACTCCACGAGGAAGATAGACACTATGTGGGGGACACTCATTAGCCAACGGATATGGAGTTGTTCGCACTGAAACACGTGACACCGAAAGTAGACACATTTCTTTAAACTGTGTTCTATGAAGTGTATTCAACGCAATTTCCAAAATTCTATTTGCTGTTGTGTTGTTATCGTTTTTTTTATCAGGCCTTCTGAATTTTATACAAAATTGGATGATATCGGTTATTTACTGTTGAGTTATGCGCATGCATCAATGAATGTTCAGGTAAGAAGCTTTACTCATTTAGAATTTAAAAAGTTAACTGGTGAGTTAAAATATAACAGAAAGTTAGTTAGTTGGTAGAGAAATACATTGATTGACTAACTGACTGATAGAACATAGTCAGCACCAATACTAAGGTGCCAGACACACGACAACTCTGCGACTGGTAACCGTTACAGTCTTAAGAGAAGGAAGTAATTTGGAAATTGCCTCATTACTTGTGGTGTACAGTTCCACCAAATTCTTTATCATCCTCATTTAACAGCTAATATGACAATGGCACGTGTGTCAGATGATATACGATGCCTTCAAAGTGAATACGGGAGTGTAAGACAAGTTTGCCCTCCTATTATCACCGATGATATTCCTAATTGTGGCGGACTAGATCATACGTCAGACTGAGCACCGCAATACTCTGGACCGATAAGAAGACCACAAGATCATCTGGATTTTGGGGATAATTTATGTCGTTCAACGTCACACAAACTCAAAGACTTACAGGCAAAAACTAACAAACTGGCTGAAGATGCAGCGACGAGAGGATTCCGGGTGAACGTAGAGATGATGGAGGTGATGAAGGTAACCAACCGCCCAACAGCAGCAACAACCAGCACCAATCACCACCATCAGTGAGCGAAATTTGAAGGAGGTTACTTCCTTCACTTACCTGGCCAGGAAGTGTCTTTTCAACTATAGGTGGAACGGACGAAGCTGTCAAAGCCAGCCAGCCAGAATCGGAAAGGCATAGATCTGAAGTCGATTTGGAAATCTTCCCCACTCACAATAGAGAAAAAGATTCGGATTCAGTTCAGCACAAATGTGAAGCCAATCACTTCTTCCATAGGGGTCAGAAATTTGGCGTTCGTGTAACGAAAAGTATTACCAACAGCCTGTTGGAGACTTTTATCAATAGATATGCCTTCACTGGTTCCATATTGAAGAACAAAGGTCTGTTGGGAATATATTAGGGAAAATGTAGATGGATTGGACAAACACCGTGGAGATTGTCGAGTGATATCGCTCGATTGGGACCTGATTAGAGAACGACAAGCTTGGTTGTGGTCCCAGGTTGATATGGAGGAGATAGTGTGAGGAGGAGATGGGAGACTATGGGCAATCATGGAGCCATTTGAAGAGGACAGGAGAACTCGGAACCCTCTGGAACAATAATAATAATAATAACCCCTACAGTCTTAAAAGAGTTCAATTTTTGAAATTGAATAACTCAAAGAAGACATCTTGATGACTGCATGACTACGTGTTTGAGGTTCGAGCCTTCATGTGAGGAATTTTGATAGTGAAGTTAAGCCATAACAGACACCCTGATCCGACCTTACTGCAAACTTTGGAAAACAATTAATTACAATTGAGGAGCAATAAAAGTCACAAAATTGTTAAAAATGATGACTAGGAGTGGTGTTCTGAAATCGGCTTATTATTTTTGATTTGGTTCATTAATCTCCATCCCATAATCCCAATCCTCCCAAGAGACCAGCTATCATGTCAAGATTCTCTTCCATATGACATGTTTTGGTAATGGTGTAACAACAGAAGACAAGGGCGAAGCAACAGATCCTTTTATTATGAAAATCAACACGTATTTATACATCTTTCAACTACATTATTATAGACAAGCGCAGTCATCTGATTGGTTGTTTAGGTAGACAAACGCAGGCTTCTGATTGGTTGTTTCGGGATTCCTTGACAAATAGAGTTCTCTCTGCGAATCATATTTTGCCACGTTAACTTTGCTGTGATTGGTTGTTGACTCAGGCTTGTTCATATTTTCTCACGGCCCATATTAGTGACCTAGACCTTAACGTAGATTAGTGCCAACCAATCGGCTAGCAGCCTGCTCTCACCACACTCGTCCCCCCGTCAAATAGCTTCGTGCGCAGACGTTCCGACCTTCTGGGTGCTACATCCTCTAGTTGAGGATTGTTACTGACCGGCTTGTCCCACTGTACCCATCTTTGGAGCTGACTGGCGTTAACTCGTTTCTGTTTATCACCTCTTCGGATGGTATATACTTGACCCCGTCTTTTTGTGATTGTGTATGGTCCTTCCCACTTTGGAAGGAGTTTCCGTGAACCTAGCCCGCCTCCAACTGTATATCTCCTGTCTCTACACTTCACTTGGTCCCCGACTGCAAAGGTAATGCACTGCGTCCTTTCTTTCATCTGAGACTTCATGACATCACTGCGCTGCTTCCGTATTACATTCTTGACTGCCTCTTTCCTCTCTGCTTTTAATTTCGTCGTACTCCACTTTTGGTGCATGGGCCAGGTCTCATTGTGTACCGGTAATCGTGGTTTTCTACCATACATCAGTTGGAAGGGTGACTTCTTCGTTGTTTCCTGAGTGGTAGCGCGATGTGTTAGTAAAATCAGTGGAAGCTCCGTTTCCCAGTTCCCGCCCTTCGAGGCCAGCCACTCCTTCAGTGTACGGTTGTTTCTCTCCGTTAGGCCATTCGTTTGTGGATGGTATGGGGTCGTTCTGATCCTCTTGATGCCCAGCTGTTGCAAACGGGAAGTAAACTCTTCACTCTCGAAACAGGGACCTTGGTCTGTCAGTATTGTCTTCGGTACGCCGTGGTCTGCAACAATGTGTCTAACTACTGCATCTGTCACGGTTCTTGCACGTTGGTCTGGGATTGCTACGGCGTCTACCCATCGTGTCGCGTGTTCCGTCATCACCAAGAGGTACTGATTACCATTGGATGTCTGAGGAAATGGACCCATGACATCTACGGACCACAAGTCACCTATCGCGGTAACTGGAATCGACTGAAGTGGTGGTCGTATACACCGGTCACCTTTCATCAGCTGGCACCGTGGACATCCAAGTACGTATCTTGCTACGTCTTCTCTCATACCTGGCCAGTACATACTTTGTCTTAGGAGATCGGTCGTTCTGGCCACGCCTGTATGCGCTAGCTGGTGACATTCTTCTATCATGTCGTGGCGCGACGATTGAGGTATGACAGCCAGCCAGCTTCCGTCGTTCTCTCGCCAGGTCAGAGTCCCGTAGGCATTCACTCTGAGTCGATCCCTCTGTCTGAGTAGTGTGGTTAGCTCCTTACTCGCCGTAGTTTGATCCACTTCTATTCCGTTGGTGATCACCTGTATTACTGTATTCAGCGTATCGTCCAACCTCTGCCTACGTGCAAGTCTTAGTGGGTCTTGTTCTACTGCATGCACTCCGTAAGCGACCTCGGGCAACTCAGACTCATCTTCTGGTCTCGATAACAAATCTGCCAAGACATTTTCACTTCCAGGAACGTGTGAGATCGTAAAATCGTACTCCTGAAGACGCAACATCCACCGTGACAACTTCCCCCGTGGGTCTCTCGCTGTCTTCAAAAATTGTAGCGGCTTATGATCAGTTTCGATGTGGAACCGCCGGCCGAGTAAATAAGGTCTCCATTTGTCGACTGCCCATACCATTGCTAAACATTCTTTTTCTATCGTTGAATACTTTCTCTCTGCGAGTGTCAAAACCCTACTGGCATACTCAACGATTCCCTCGTCCTGTCTTAGGACCGCACCTATAGCGTAGTCACTGGCATCTGTGCACACTGTGAACTGTCTTCCTGGCACAGGTAGTTTTAGCGTCATTTGTTGGTGGTCGAGCAGCTGTTTAATTCTGTCGAATGTCCTCTGCGATTCTTCCGACCAAACAAACTTTGGCTCACCTAGTAGCCTGTATAGAGGGGCTGCTATCTCATTGAAGTTCTTCACGAAGCGGCTATAAAACGCTGCTCTACCCAAGAATTGTCTCAGTTTTCTCTTTGAATTCGGGGCTGGAATCGTTTTAATCGTCAAAATTTTCTCCGGCAGTGGTTTAATCTCACCATTTCCCACTTTATGTCCCAACAGAGTAACATTCTTTTTGGCTATCTGGGACTTGGTTTTGTTGACGCGTAGTCCAAACTCTTCGATGCGTCGCAGCACGGCTTCTACATGGTTGACGTGATCGTTTTCGTTTTGACTGTATATGACGAGATCATCACCATAAACCTCCACGTTTTTCAAGTTCCTAAGTAATAGCTTCATCAGTCGTCTGAACGTAAACGGTGCACCTGCTAGTCCAAACGGCATGCGTTTAAATCGATATTGTGTCTGACCCACGATGAAAGCCGTCTTATCTCTATCACCTTGTTTTATCGGTATCTGCCAGTATCCTGAGCGAAGATCGAGAACCGAAAACACATTCGCGCCTTGTAGGCGATCTAAAGTTTCTACCACTGTTGGCATGGCACACGGTCTTAACTCTGTCATACTGTTTAACTGTCGAAAATCAACACAGAATCTATACTTCCCATTCGCTTTTTTTACTAACAGCACTGGAGAGTTGTACGGGCTATCAGCTTCCTCAATAATGTCATCTTTTAACATCTCTTGCACTTGTCGCTCCACTTCGCCTTCCAGATGACATGGAACTCTTCGCGTTGTAAATGACCTTACTTTCGGATCACTTAACGGAATTTCATGATTCACCTTATCGCAATAACCGTATGGGTCGCCATCTCCAGTGAACAGATGATCGTATTTACTAATTAACTCTGTCACATTGTGTACCGTCGGCAGCTTAATCGCTGCTATCTCGCTGGTCTCATACATGTTGATATGCCCGTATTTCGTGACCACCACGTTCGCTTGCGTGTCGATTATGGCACCAATCTCACGCAGAAAATCCGCTCCTAATATCGTTCGCTGTAGTTCGGGTACAACAATGAAAGGAAACGTCACCTCGCAGCCACCAACAACGACCGTACAGTTCGATCTACCCGTTATACGCAACACATACCCGCCTACTGTTTGTACTGTCAATGAACACGGGCTAACACTCTTACATAAATTCTTATCTATTAACGACACGGCCGCCCCTGTATCTATCAAACATACTACTTCTCGATCATTCACTCGCAACTTCGAATACAGAGCGCCTTTCTCAATAGCCCCCACTAAATCTAGGTTCATACGAAAGAAAGAACAAGCATT